CAATTTAATATGGAAAAAGGGAGAAAAAAAAAAACAATAACTAATATAGAAAAAAAATTAAAATTTAAATTTAAATGGCTTGCAGTTGGCAGTATAACTGAAAATCCTTCACCTATGCCCATTTTATCCAGAGATGAATGAAAACAGTGCATGTGTTGCACGAGGCCGTTTTTAATCTGTCCATTAATTAAAAGCAAAACAGTGCATGTGTTGCAGGAGGGCTATTTTTCTGTGCTTTAATTATAAAAGCATGTGGCTGGAAAATTTGATAGAAATATGGTATATCACTAGAGGCTTCATTTCCTTTTCCTATGAAAATTAATAAAATTTAATATGTTTATGACATCATGACATTTTTAGGTAGAGCTATTGATAAATTCTTAGCACCTAGTGCTAGAGGTGGCCAAGGGCCGACCCGGCCCATCGTCCCGGTCCCGAAACCGTCCCGAACCGGCTCGGACTTCGACGGTTCTGTGAACCGGAACCGTAGCCATGTGATTCGGTTCCGATTCTTCATCTCTGTTTTGTTTCGGCGAACCGGGCTGGGTTGGGCCGCAAGGCAGAAGATGGGCGGCGTGTTGTGAATCCCTTTTTTTTAATGGGCCGAGTCGGCCCGAAACTGGCGGGTCGGAGACCAAGTGATTTGGCCACGGCTACCTAGTGCTAGTCATATTGGAAAATTTATAGCAAATTGATATATAAAATTTGTATAACTCATATTCAATTTTCGTAACAAGAGTCAAACCCAAAAAATTAAATAAATCAATAATTGTTGGTGACGATTTTCAAACAAAATTCAGTGGTGGGGCAAATTGGGAAACAAAAAAAAATGGTGCTTTGGATGTTATAATGATTCAAAAATTCTGGATACATTAGTGAGAGTTTAGTGTATTTGCAATTTTTCATTTCATTTTTAGGAAAGACATACTCCACTTGTCACGTTCACGTAGCCACCGGATATCATTTTGCGGTAAATAATTAGGACATACTTCACAATAACAATTAATCATCTTCTCAACTCACATCAACTTTCATTTACTATTCATTAATTCACATGTGTTTAAGAGCGTGCTTGGATACAAATATATTTATTCCGAATATTTTTATTAACCAGGCTAAAAAAAACATAATATGGTTGATTGTTAGTGAGTTTGAGTTTATATTAAATTAAAATAATATTTAATATAAAATAATTAAAGTTGTTTTTATGTAAAAGTACGAGAGATACAACGGGAAGTAATGATTAGTTAAAAATATTTGAATAGATAAATAGTGATTAATAAAGTTGATGTGATGTGTAAGAATGATTGATTGATATTATTTAATTATATTGATGATAGTGAGATCGAATTAAAGTTGGATCAGATTTTGAGTATAAATTAAATACGAATTAAGAAAAGTTTATAAACAAACACCTGGAGCGGATTTAGACATGGGCTCGTAGGGGCACGGGCCCCTGTAGAATTTTTTCAATAATATAGGTCATATATGTATTATTATTTTGACATAAAAAAATACATATTATTAATTATTATGCAGAGCTATTTTAATATATATATATATATATAAAAGAAATGTTTAGAATGATTTAACCTTCAATAGTATGTTATATATATATATATAAGAAATGTTTAGAATGATTTAACCTTCAAGTTGTAGAATTTACGCTTATGATGTACTCAATTTCTTGTTTATTTCATTTCCCCTCACAAAATACATAAATGTGTATACTATATAGAGATTGAATCAAATGTATTCCTATTTTTAAAATAGGGATGTGAAATCAACCTCAGCTATTAAATAGGAAACAAAGTGTCTGATCAATATTTAATCTTTTTATTATTTTAATTTCCTATTCTTGAAATGGGAATGAGAAATTCAACTCCAACTATTAAATAGGAACAAAGTGCCTGGTCAATATTTGATCTTTTTATTTTTTTTAATTGATTAACTATTAATATTGATTTGACCGTTGATATCTGTTGTTGACTGTTGACCGTCGGGTTGACTGTTGACCGTAGTTTGTGCCTGCGTTGTCCTTAAAGTCTGCGTCTACTCCTAACAAATACACCCTTAAATATATTTCATTTTATATATTATTTAAAAATAAATTTAAAATTTTTTTACTCAATAAATTTTATTTTAAATCACGTCACTTTAACTAATAAATTCAATAAAAAATATCCAACTGCCAAATATCGATTTATTTTATTCTATAAACATAATCGAGTTCTTTTAGTAATTTTTTCGAAATGGTGGTCATATTGAGATTTTTTTTTTGCAACCATAATCAAATTGTTTAGGAATTTTTTGAAAAGTTGGTCATTTTTTTGAGTTGGTCTAAGGCCTTGTTTGGTAATCAGTTGTTAGCTGTTAGCGGATTGCGTTAGTTGTTCTGACCAGCAGATTGAATTAGCTGTTTTGACCAGCTGATTGTGTTAGCGGTTCATAAAAGAATGTTTGGTAAAATTTGCTATTTTAATTTGTTGTTAACATGTAAAATTACTTATAAGGACATCAACATATTTTATTATTCTTTTTTATGTTGAACTTATAATTTTTAGGAAATAAATTATTAATATTTTAAATATTTATAAAAGTGATTTTTAAATATAATAAAAATATATTTTATCATCTTATTTATGTTGAACTTATAATTGTGGGAAATGCTATGGTCCTGTTACGGTACCATCCTGTCGGGTATTTTAACTTGTGGATCCACATATAGTTAGATATGATAAATGATCCAACGGTTAATACGCCCGACGAGATGATACCGTAATGGAACTTTAATATTTTCCTATAATTGTATGGGTATTCTTAAAACATTATTATCAAATTTATGACAATATATTCACAGGTTTAACATTTTTTAATTTACCTCTGCATTTTTTGCAAATGATTAGTTACATGTCAATTTTTATTATGTAATTATAATTATTTGAAGAAAACTAAATTTTATTATTTATAATATTTACTAAAAAAAATTAAACAACAACTATAAACTAAACACTTTTGAGATGTCTCTAATTTTTGTTGTGTCTCACCTTCCACTTTTTATTTTTTATAATAACTAGTACAACACCCGTGTATTACACGGGTGCTTGCTAATTTTTTTCTTAAAATCTAAAATTAATGAGAAAAAAGTAGTTTGAAAATTTACATACCTTTTATAAGAATATACATTAGTAAATATTTATTATGACACTTTTTATTTGTGCAACTTACTTGTGTTATATTATACTAATTTTTTTTAACTTACAATATATAACTACATTACATAAAAATATATCGATTAAAAAATAATTTTATTTTTCTAATGAATTTCAATAAATATTATTATTTTTTATTATTATAAAGATAAATATAATTTATTTATTTCATATATATACAATATGGATGTCAAATCGAAGATCATCAAAAAATAATTAATTTGATATATTATATATATAAAACCGATAAGAAATACAAAAGTTATCAACTTTTAAAATAAATTTATAATTCAATAGCTTATTGAATGAAACAAATCAAAATTCAGGGATATATTAGTCACTTAGTGCCTCACTATGTAAAATTACAAAGAATTGAAGGGTTATATTAGTAAAAGTGATATTAAAATACCTAAATTAGCTAAATAATATTTATGGAATACCCGAACCTAGATTATTAATTATTAATATATCAATATTATTTATTCAAACCTAATTACGAAGCATGATTCTTCGCCAAATAGGATTCCGAAGCACCAGAAGCAGCCACGTAGGCTCAGCGCATTCTGGAATTATATATAGGGAGGATTTCTTCTTGATAATAATTAATTAGACATTAAATAGATTTTTTAATTGGTTTCCCATTCAGCGAATCGTGTCTTTCTGCCACTATTTAGTTTTTTTTTTTTTTCACTATGTAGTTTTTTTTTTTCTTCTTGATAAATAATTAGCATTAAAATAGATAGTTTAATTGATTTCCAACCGCTGAATTGAAACGCTGCATGTAGTTTATAATTTGTGTTTTTGTATGTGAATTTCAAGAAAATGGCTTAAGAAATAGAAGGAATTTTGGTAAAATGAACAAAGTCGAGGCACGTAAGATACGCTCTCCTTAAGACGAAATAGCCTCGTATATTACCCACGGTTCACGGCTAACGCCTCCAAGATACAACGACTTTTGATTTGTGTATAGTGGTAACTCAAATACACAAACCTTCGGCGAACAATGCTTAAATTTCAGAACTCTCAAGATAGAAAAGAACACAAAGAACACAAGATGAATATGAACTTTGTAAAAAGGATGCAAAAGTTATGGAATTATTTGATGTCTTGAATGATTTCATGTTAGTGGGTATTTATAGATGTAAGGAGACACCTCCAAGAGGTTTAAGTGTCAAAAGACACCTTTTGGGACGTGTCCGAACAAGAACGGATGTATCTAGTGGCCAAAAGATACCTTATGGTCACCAAGGATTGCAACCCTTCGATTTCCGCAGCCAGTTGCGCGCTCGTGCGCCGCGGGCTCGTACGAGCTCATACGGACTCGGAATCGAGTTCCGTTTTTTCCTACTTGTCCCTAACGAGCCCCTCTACAATTATAGCGTACATAATGCATATTTATGGCTCGTTTAGTTTATCCAAATATTTATTAAAATATAATATTTGTGAACCCTACAACATTTTGAATTGTTTAAACTCAATTAATTAAAATACAACACTTAGAATTAATTTTCCATTCACCTTAAAAAGGTTTTGAGACTTTTCTAAATATTCTACTTACGAAAAATAAATCGTTAAATCGGTACAAATTTAATTTTTTCTTACACTGCAATTAGCTGCGTTTTCCAAATTAGCTATTTCACCCCAAAAACCAC